GGGGGTGGGGGGTGGGCTTTAAAGGCAGGCCAACGCTGTGGGAATTCACTCTTCTCTAGACATACCAGCTCCCCTCCCCATCCCCACCCCTTGTCACCAACCCCCAACATTGGGGCCATTCACTGGGGCCTTCAGCAGCTGCCCTCCCCTCCCTCATCTCACCCAGCTCCCTCCCTGGAAAGGGCCCAAGAGGAGGACCCAGCTGTAACTCCAGATGTGGACAGTGCTCTGGGGGAGGGGCTGGGGGCTGGGGAGAGCTTGACTCCCAGCCTCTTGCATCATCTTCAGATGATGAAACCAACTCCTTGACATTGGCAAGCGTCTGGGTTAGGGTCTGAGGATGCGGCTACTGGCGCTGCCCTCCTCCTCTCTCGCTTCCCCCTCACCTCCTCTGAGAACTGCTGGTCCAGAAGCCCCATCCCTGTGAAGGTCGGGCCCAAACTAAAGACCATTTTGAGAGCAAATCAACCCTTCCCCCACCCTCCTGATATCTAACTGTGCCCACAGGGCAGGGAGGAGTGTGTGTGTGTGTGTGTGTGTGTGTGTGTGTGTGTGTGTGTGTGTATGTTGGGATGGGGAGGGTGTCCTGGTGGGATCCTGCATCATGTCAACATTTGTGCCCAGGGGAACTTAGGAACTGAGCCCTCTTCTCCCCTGCGGGTCACCCCTCTGCAGCAGGAGGCCAGCAGAAAGTTGAGGACTCACACACACACCCATTCCACAAACCATCCCCCAAAAACCAGGCACTTGGCGCCGTATTCTGACTTTGTCTTACTAACCTTGGGAACTAGGCAGGTGAAGAGCAAGGTCTCACTCAGCACAGAAACAACAAACATACCATTTGAACCCATGGGTCTAAGTCCCTGCTCCCCCTGCCATCCCCCCAAAATTGCCCTAGAAGGGAGTCAGGCAGACCCAACTTCTCCTGGAGGCCCTCTAGGATGACCCTGCTGTGTTTAGCAAGCTCTGTTCCCTCCTACCTCCCTGGGCAACTCTGGTTTCCTGCCTGCAGGAGGGCTGCTCTGTCTTCTGACAGTGGGTGACTCTTGAGACAGACACCCACAGTGCTGGGAAATGCCAAAGCCACCTCTTTGCAGTCTTCCGGGTGAGAGGGGGAGCCACCAGGAGGCACAGGGGCAGCAAACTCAGGTCTAGAGGGCCTGACCCACCAAACCCTGAAACATCTTCCCAGGCCACACTGAGCAGCAGGGCTATCTAGTGTCCAAACCCTGACCTCTGGTGTGGAAGGAACCCGCACAGAGGTTAGATGGGGATCCTGGTGGTGGGAAAGAGCTTGGGGAGATTTAGGTAAGACCTAGGGCAATCCCTACCCACTTCAGGTCTCTGTCCAGCTTCAACAGAGCCAGGGCTTCTGCTCGGTCACTTCCCACCCTCCTCTCTCACACCCCACCCTGCCCCCTCCCAGCTGCCCTTCCTCTTCCTGTCCCTCCTTCCCTGCCCCAGAAGTTTCCCAGGATCAGTTGCCTAATCTGCATGTCTCTCCCCACCCCCCAACTCTTTCCTCTTTGCCTGACAGAAGCTGGCACACACACACACACACACACACACACACACACACACTCCCAGGTGGGTTGGCCCTGAACCCCCTGATTGGACTGGAGCTCTAATCCTGTCCAGAGATGAAGCCCTTCCCCCAGGCAGCTCCATCATGTCTAGTGACAGGCAGGCGCTGTGGGCGGCTGGGCAGATGGAAACCTGGGGGAGGTGGGGGGGGGCCCTCCTCAAGGCAGGAAGCTCCCACGCTACTGTAGTTAAAATACCCCAGCAGCAACTCAGGCAGCCATCTGGTCCATATTGCAGAGGCAAGGCCCAGCTCTGCACAGCACCCCTCCGGGAAGAAACGGCTGAAAAGATACCTGTTGTTAGCTGCTTGTGGATTTAATTCCGACTCACACGTGTCCAGCCCCTGGGGCGGACTGGAACTCCTCCACGGGGCTTTGAAGGCTGTGATGTTTTTGAAGAGGATTGCCAGGCTTGTCTTCCGAGGACCCTCGGGCTGAGTTGCAGCACTTAACTCTTGACACCCGCCTCCACCTCAGCCCCGTTGGGCTTGAGGCTATGAATCTGAGAGGGGGCAGAAAGGCTCTGGGCAGTTCCACTTTGTCCCGTGGGGCTGCAGAGTTACAATCAGCTCTACAGTGGAACCCAACACCTCTAGGAGGCCTTGTAAAGAAGCCCTGGTGGCGCAGCAGTTAAGCACGTGGTTGCTCCTTCTATTGGACTCCCGCAGTGGCTCCTCAGACGCTGTGCTTGGTTCCCGGAGGAAACAGGCACCCTGACAGTGGGCATGCTTAAAGAAGACAGTTCAGAAAACCCTGTGGGCACCCCCTACTCTGTCACGCAGGTTGCTATGAGTTGAAGTTGAGTTGACAGCAACTCATAGTCACCCGAAAAGACCGAGTAGACCTGCTCTTTGGGTTTCAGAGACTGTGAAGCTTCATGGGAGCAGACAGCCTCGTCTGTCTCCCTTGGCGTAGCTAGTGGGTTCAAACTGCTGACCTTGGGGTGAGCAGCCCAGAGCATGACCACGTGCCACCAGGGTTCCTAAGGTAACCTTTAGGTCCTCCAAAGGTGGCCTGAACGTGAACCCTGTTCCCGTGTACCTTCCTTAGGGTTAGCACTAAACTCAAAGCAGACCCACTGCCTTCGAGCAAATTCATAGCAACTAGGTGTTAGCATTTACAAAAAACAAACGCTCTGAGCACTCTGGAGGTGGAAGGCCCAGAACCTGGGTCTCTAGTCCTAATCCTTAGCCCTACCCCAGGAGCTGTGCTTGGTTCCCTGAGGAAACAGGCACCCTCGGTTCTGCTCACAGATGGTCCAGCTGCACCCTCTGATGCCCACCTGGAGAGAGAGCCCCATTTTGTCTACCAGCAGGAGCTCGGAGTCCCCAAGAGGGCCTGCTGGGGTGCAGACTCAGGGGATCTTAACTTAGAGGCAGGCTTCGTCTGACTTCCCTTGTTCCAGGAGGAGACAGACTTGCCACAGAGGAAACCAGAGTTTGTTATGAGTAGCAAGGGAGGGAGGGAACTGTTGTGGATTATACATATCCCATCAGTCTTGAAAAAAGCTATTTTTAGTTTCAAATGCTAATGAGGGCTTAATTAATATTCCTTATCACCTCACACCTGGGATCTGTCTTCAGCAGTATTAGGGCCAAAGGCAAGTGCAAGAGTGGATGACTCTCCATGTCCCAGAAGGTTAGAGTTGGAAAGAGCCCGGAGATCAACTAGTCCAGTCCCTCAGTTTTCAGGTGAAGACACTGAGGCTTTGTGCAGGCCAAGGGACCCATTCGAGGTCGTACAATCAGCTTGGGCTAAACAGCGACTGAAAGCATGGTCCCCACATGTCCAGGACGGGGCAGTGTCCACAGCAGGCCAGAGGACGAGGACCCAAAGACCATGCTCTGGCTCAATGTCAGGCTGTTGATGAGTTTATGATGTGAGCAAGAGCAAGGTCTGAACAAAATCATGAAAAGCCCAGAAGCAGAAGTGTGGTCTCCTGAGTCACAGAGTTCTGAGTTCAAATCCCAGCTCTGTCTCTGACTCGCTCTGTAATACTATGCAAATGATGTCTCCGTGTCAAGTGTCAGTTCCCTGCTGTCAGAAATGAGGAGGATCATACCGACCTCACCACAAAGCTATGATGAGGTTGAAATGAGGTCACCTGTGTCAAGCACCCAGCACAGCACCCAGTACGAGGTGGGTGCCTCAGAGATGTTCATTCCCTTCACGTTTCCCTTGGGTCCTCTACCCCTCGATGGGGTCCCTGCACTGCAATGGCACAGAACACGTGTGCACACGCGCACGGCATAGAGAAGTCCACTGAGGCTAGGAAGTCTTGGGGAAGACCCTGCATGGGACCAGGAGGTAGGGGAGGAGGCTTGCCTGGTCCAAGTGGCCAGTGTCAGACGCAGGGGAGTGGGACGAGGCCGATTTCTGCAGAGGGGGGCATCCTCTGCTGGCCAGGTGTTTGCGGGGGGCTGGAGAGGGCCTTGGCGTGCCGGACCCCTGGTGAACACAAACACTGCTGGTCCAACCTCACTGAAAGAGTCTAACGTTTATTAAACTCACCCTCATTCTAGAAGATGCACTCACACTGTCAAAGGTTTTTATACATGAGTTCTCACAGCACTCCGTGAGGTAAGACCCGTGATTCTGCCCATTTTTCAGAAGAGGAAGTGAGCTCATGGCCCACGGCTAGGCTGATAGTCATGCGTGCGGTTCCCCAATAAGTCCAGCTTGCTGCCTCTGGCACAAGGTAGGACTGTAATGCCCTCACTTGTCTTTGTTGTTGGGGTTGGGCCACGTGACAAACCTTGACCCATGAAATGAGAGCAGAGCTGTTAGTGATAGCCATGTGACTCACAATGACTGATGAAACATGGGCAAAGCGGACTAGTGTCGTCTCGGGGAGGAATCTTCCAGACCCCATGGGTAACGCATTGCGGAGCCCGCAGAGGCAGTGGGTCCGTGCAGACGTGCAATGTGCTTAAGATTCACAGCCTTGGGGACCCTGCGGGGACCGTTCTAATCTGTCCTCTGGGCCGATAGGAATCCAAATCGACTCCACGATGGGGCTCTTATAGTTTGGGTTCGGATTTGGTTTTGGACAATTAGCTGCTTTCTCTTCCCTCTGCTTTTGGGATTGCTTTGAGATGAAGGGTCTGTCTACTGGGTCCTGGAATGACTGAGATTTGTGGAGCCTTTGGCATCTGACCCACTCATGTTGTTCCGGGACAGAGCATGAGAACTAAACATGTATTATATCTGCCCCACCCTTCCCACCCTCGAAACCAAACTCACTGCCATCGAGTCAATACTGACTCACAGCAACCCTGGACGACGGGAGAACTGCCCCTGGGAGTTTCCGAGACTCCAACTTTGTGTGTGTGTCTTAAATAACAATTTTATTGTTTTTTAGCGGTATTAATATTTTAAAACTCTTTCTCTTTTAAAATAGTTTATTTTATTGTTTTTGAGATCATATCCAGTAAAGCATGCACCAATTCAATAATTTTTACATGTGCAATAGTGACATTAATGATACTTATTCAATTTGCAAATATTTCCATTCTGCATTTATTTTTTTAATTAAATCATTTTATTGGGGGCTTGTACAACCCTTATCACAACCCACACATCCATCCATTGTGTCAAGCGCTTTTGTACATTTGTTTCCCTCATCATTCTCAAAACATTTGCTTTCTACTTGAGCCCCTGGTATTCGCTCCTCAATTTTTTTCCCTCCCTCCCGCTACCCCCTCCCCCATGATCCCCTGATAATTTATAAATTATTATTATTTTGTCATATCTTACATCGACATCTCCGTTCACCCATTTCTTTCCTGTCTGTCCCCCAGGGAGGAGGTTATATGTAGATCCTTGTAATCTGTTTCCCTTGTAATCACCTTCCCTCCACCCTCCCGGTATCACCACTCTCACTACTGGTCCTGTAGGGATCATCTGCCCTGGATTCCCTGTGTTTCCAGTTCCTATCTGTACCAGTGTACATCCTCCGGTCCAGCCAGATTTGTAAAGAGTTAGAGTCAACATGAGACTAGCTCTTTATGGGGGTAGAAAGCCCTGTCTTTCTCCCTTGGAGCTGCTGGTGGTTTTGAACTTCCAACTCTTCAGTTTGAAGTCCCAGGCGTAACCACTACACCACCAGGGCGCCATATGCTGGAGAACTATTCAGCAATTAAAAAAAAATGGGTTCTTGATATTGATACCACATAGAAGAATCCCAAAAGAATTATGCTGAATGAAAGGCAGGCAAAAGAGGGTGCCAATTTTTGTTCTCAGTGAAATGTTCATTGAAGCTTACGACAAGGAGAACCTGTTCTGCACTTGACTGTGGTGATGACTGCATGGCTCCTATGTGATTGATTAGGTTGCATGACGTGCCAAGTATACACCCATAAGACTTTTTGATTTTCTACATTGGAAAAGATTTTATTTTACGAGTCTTATTTAATGTTAATACATTTTACTAAAGGAGTTTTACATCTCTTTCCTTTGCCATCCACCAGCTACAATTGAGTTCCGCCAAATCTTGTACAAGCTAATCTTCAAGAGAACCCCTTTCAAAGGAACCCACGCTAAGCTCACTGCCATTGGTCAGACTGTCCAGTAGGCATTCATTTCAGGCCTTGAAAAATTAGCCGGGCAACAAAACTGTACTGAGTATAATGATAAAGCTGGTGGACAACATGCATCTCCAATATCTCTGTTAGTGTAGGTCTCGGCAACTGATCTACCCAGGTGGTTGTATGCTTGCAAGGTAGCAAAAGGACAAACACCTCCAGGGAAATATTTTATGGTCCTGCCCACCGCAACCCACACACTGCCTTCTAAAAGCCTTGGTGATGACCACTAAGACCTTTTGAAAGTCAGCAGGCACTTGCCTGGGAGGGGTGGAAGGATGACAGAGCATCCCTCGGAAACATTTTGGGGTGGTGGCCAGGTCTGCTCCCGTGAGGTGGTGATGGGTGCATGTTTGCTAAAACTGACCAAATTGTCCAGGAGGGAGATGAGGCAGTCTGCTTCCCTGGAGCTGGCACCCTTGGGTACACGATGGGGCAGGTCCATGCCGTTCCACAGGGCTGCTGTGAGATGGCGTCCACTCAACAGCCAGGAGCATGGGAACCTTTCATGTACGTGCACTTTATTGTGAAAGGGAGTCACGTCCTCCGGCTTTAACACGTGTAGAGCAAGGCTGGTCCCTGGGACAGTTCCGGGGTTTTCAGCCCTAGCAGTTCCATCCTCTCCCCTGCTCACGGAAGGTCCCTGTCCTCAAGCCAAATGGAAGACTGGTCCTAAAGACCATCGAGTTGACTCTGGCTCAGGGCGACCGCCCCCCATTCCCCCCACATGTCACAGTGGAACTGTGCTACAGAGGGTTTTCAATGGTTAATTTTTCGACAGTAGGTCGCCAGGCCTTGCTGCTGAGGCTCCCCTGGGTGGACTGGAACCTCCAGCCTCTCTGTTAGAAGCCACGTGTGTGAACCACTTGCACCACACAGAGACCAGGCGGGGAACAGTAGCAGGGAATTAACCCTAAACCCAAACCCGCTGCCACTGAGTTGAATCTG